TTTTAGTGTGTTATCCTCTTATCTCCATCAAGTATATGTTACAATGACACACAACTGTAATTCCAGAGCTCCAGAGGCTGAGACAGGAGAGTTGATACAAGCTAAATGCTAGCTTCTGGACTAGTCAGGGCTAGCTACTACTAATGAAAACTTGTCTCAAAAAATACATGCCAGCTATAAAATGGCATTATCTAAAGAACCAAAAGCAATAAATTACTTCATTTATATTTTAAAGATTTTATTTTAATTTAAAGTATGTATATATGTAAGGGTTACATAAATATAGTACCTACCGAAGCCAGAAGAGGACATTGGATCCAATGGAGGCCATGAGCCAGCCAATATGGGTGCTGGGAACTAGGCAGTATGTGCTCTTACCTGCTGAACCAGCTATACAGTCCCTTATCTACATTAAAAAAATAGTTGTGGCTAACTATGAACCACAACAATAACCAGCATGGCAGAGTAACCACAAAGGTACAGTAGTGATATTCATACCTTAGAGGTAACCAAAACAAGTCTCTAATTGAACTACTCAACAAGAAGAAAATTATGCCTTGTACTGGAAACCTAACCAAATAACACCCATGGTTAGTGCAATCACAGATCTTAGATGAATGCATACAACTACCACTTTACTAAACCAGAATAATCCCTAACAACATTCTAAGTATTTTTCCTTTTACTCTCACCAAAGTAACTTCTTTTTGCAACAGATAGAGACCATTACAGAAAACCACAAATCATTGTGCAGATTTGTGGAGCCCAGTCCCTCTGGATCCATCTATAAAACATCCCAACACCTAACACTTGGGGATCATTGTGGAAGAGGAAGTGAGAAGATTATAAGAACCAGAGGTCCAGGGAGTTCACTGTGAGTGTGTGTGTCCTAGCACTCTCAGAAGCTATACCCATAATGTCTCACCACCATGATTGCCTCAACACAAGCTGATCAAAGACAATAATATACAGAGATAAGGGAAGAGTCCAAGAGGCCTAAACCCCATACAAAGAACTAAAGCAACTGAGAAATGCTGACTGGAGTCTTCCTTGGAGAAGAGCACACCAATTAGTTATCCAATACCAAATGGTCAGCCCTGAAAATATATGTACACCAACATTACACAGACTGAGCAGGTTATATTTAGGAAGATATTTGTATATACAAATACATATATGCAGGTAGCAACAATGAATTTTTTAAAAGGCCATGAATCTGAAAGAGAGCAAGGAGTGGTATATGAGAGGGTCTGAAGGGAGGAAAAGGAAGGGGGAAATAATGTATTACATCAAAAATTAAAACAATTTAAAAATTAAAAGAAATAAATAGTGCTGCCTAATAATCTCACTCATAATAGGAAAGTTTTCCTGATAAGGATTTTGTTGATTTCCTTAATGATTAAACAATTCCTATAAAATTTTTTAATTGTTAAATGAGTGACTTGTGGTGGCACATATATGTAATCCCAGTACATGGGAAGTAGTGGCATGAGTTCAAGGTCAATTTTTGCAACACAGAGAACTTGAAGCCAGCTTGAGCTACAAGAGATCCTGAGTTGAATTTTTTAATGACATCTCAGAAATGAGATTGTGAACAGAGATTTAAAAAAATCCCCAACTGACCTGGAGAGTTGACTCAATGGTTAAGACCACTTGCTGCTCTTGCAAAGGACCAGAGTTTAATTCCCAGCATCCACGTGGCAGCTCAAAACTGTAACTTTGGATCACAGGGCATCTTATGCCCTTTTCTGACCTTAGTGGGCACCAGACACACACATGGTACACACATATGCATGCAGGAAAATGCTTATACATATGAAGTAATAAAATAAATAAATTCAAAAACTCAAAAAACTACTTATCACAATTTGGACATGCTTCTTTACTATATATAATCCATTATCTGATAATCAGATATTACTTATTGGGCTCTTTCCCCATTCAATGATTTCTCCTGATAATATAGATTGAATGGCATCAAGATTAGTTATAATCTTGATGCCCATGAGCGGCCTACTGTAAAAATGAAAACCAATTATAACTTAAATATACATAATATCTCTAGAGAGTGATCCAAAAAGCAGACATTATAAAGTAGCCTACCTGTTAGTTAATTCACTGAGTCAAATATAAACTCTGTCTTTGGAGGTAGCTATCGTATGTTACAACTCTCCTAAAGATTTAAGGACCTCCTACTATACCCACTCAACTTACAACTATCTCCCACAATATCACCCTGAAAACCAACCCTTTAACGCATGGACCTTTAGAAGACTCTTAGTAAGTGTTGATGTTTTTATACATAATGTATAAGTATATAGGTATATAAATCTCATATATAATTTTATGCATATAATTTATAAGTATATACAAATATTTCTATATATACTGTAGAAAATACCTATAATAACTTTGTAAGCTTACTTCCAAAACTAAATAGATGCAGAGGTTTATTTCACGCTCCAAAAAGGAAATAAATTATGTGGGTTTTGTTTGTTTGTTTCTCTCTTTCTTTCTCTCTTTTTTTAAAGATAGGGTTTCTCTGTGTAACCACCCTGGCTGTCCTACAACTCATTCTGTAGACCAGACTGTCCTCGAACTCACAGAGATCCAACTGCCTCTGCCTCCTCAGTGGTGGGAGTATGCACCATCACTGCCCTGCATATTATGTATTCTATAGGACTTTTTCCTGGTTAAATTCTCTTCTTTCCTAATAGATAATAATAATCATTTTTGAGACAAGGTCTAATTTACCCAGAACATCCTCAAATTAACTATGTAGCTGAGTATGACCTTGAACTTCTGATCCTTCTGCCTCTATCTCCTGAGTGCTGAGATTTCAGGTATGTGCCCCCGTACCCATTTTTACGCAGTGCTAGGAACTGAATCGAGTATTTCCTGCATGCTAGGCAAGCACTCTACCAACTGAGCTAAATCCCCAGCCTAGATTGCAATAATCTTAATCGAATGCTTATTAAAAGGAAAACTTGGCCATTAACCATAGAAACTACCAGGTCCGGTTATTGTCTCCATGATTTGAGCAGTTATACCTGTTGGGCCAGTTAAATCTGAGCTTACAGGTTCCTGTTTAGAAGGGACGGGGGAAATTTTCTACATTTGTTTACTAAAAGCTAATACATTAATGCGGTGAAACAAGTGAATAAGACAGAGCACACACTTATCACCAAAGTGACAGATAAAACTTAATGGCCACTAGATGCCAAGTTTGATTACTTTCCCAGTTCAGGGTGACTTCAAAGGTTAATTTTTACCTGTATCAAGAGTAGTGGGCTATTCTAATTTTACCAAGTTAAAGGGAGTGTATCTTGTTTCACTGGGCTTAGTAAGGGAGCACAAAGCTCAGATTGACTGCAAGCAATCTAGTAGGAATGGCCCCTTCTGCTACCATCTGAAATAGTCTTTTGCATGCAGTTTTCCACTCTAAGTCCCTGTGTGCCTTGGGCTCTTTTTAAATTATGTGTACTTCAAGGAAGCATCAGTTATCAAATAGTAAAGCCCCTTCTCCAATTCCTAAGGAAACCTCAACCAATCTTCATATGCCCCTTTCTCTCATCACACTTTATATATTACCGATCACTTAATAATCCCTGTCAGATGCCCAGCCCACTTATTTGGTGCATTGCCTCAGACGATTTAGTAAATGTATCATGCTCAGAAGTATCCTGGGGTCCTTGTAATAGCTACGGTTTGTTTCAGAACACTGACTTCCTCATCACCTTGTGCAACTCAACTGCTTAGCAGCAGTGGCTGAACTATCTTCTTATCAAGGAATTCTACAGGAACAAACAGCCATGCTAAATTCTATGAATACTGATCATGTTCAGAAATCCTAAATACAAAAAGGTGAACCAAGTGGCTAAGATTACACTCATAAATATATGAGCATATATGTATGCTCCAGCAGTATAAAACAGTCTTGAGTGACATAAAAAGCAAAAAAGAAAAGCACCACAAAGGCAATGATAAGGCAAATGAACCATAAAGCCCTCAGTACTCCCTAGGAACTATGTTTTAAAGCATTGATCGGCATTATAAATATTCAGTTGGTGGTCATAACTTTCACACTATTGCTTTTTAAGTAAAGATTCATATTTAGGGCTATATATGAACAATTTTATCACCAATTACTGCTGGTGACAACAGATGACAGACAAAAGGCTTAACAAGCAGTCTTTCTCCAAGCTTTAAGGAAAGCAGAAAACAAAAACAGCACCTGCTTTGTATCATGCCCTCCTCCTTTCCAGGTATGGGGCAAGCAGAAAGAAGCTATGACGCCCTTGGTTTCATAACTCCACATCAAAGTCAAGGAACAATAAAATGGACTTCTGAGTCCACCCCTGAACCCAAATGGGGAACTTACTTTGGATTGACCAACGCTCTTCTCTTGAAGCCCCGAGTCCCTGTTCTACAACTGGGCATTAAGATTTTCCAGTTTCATAGTAATAATAAGAAATACGTTAGTGAACAAATGTATGTAGCAGGTACGTACATATCACAAATAAAAAGCGGGGACAACATTTAGTCCTAGGCCAAGAGCCATACACAGACACACATGTCCACACCCTTCAAGTTCAAATCCCAGCAAGGCACCCTGAGTGTGCAGTCAACAAAGGGAGGGGCAGGAGCAGGGAACAGAGGTTAAAGCAGACAACAGCCAAAACAAACATCACTTCCAGAACAGGGCAAACTTTGGGTCTGGGAGGCTGAAGAACCCCCAGAAACGACAAGGGTGTTGAGACTCTCTCAAGGAAGGAAGAGCGCACCCAAGCACTGGGACTGGAGGAGATAAGCTGCAGAGGAGGCTAGTGTCCCTGGGGACAAGGGCGTCGCCGCCATCCTCGGCTGCACAGCACCCCCCCCCCTTTTTTGCCGCCCTGGCCGACGCCCTCCAGATCCCAGAGAACACTCCTTGTCGCCCCATTCTTCCATAGACACTGTCCCCACAGACCTGTGAGGGATAAAAGAGCGCCGAGACATACCTGGTGCAACGTCTCCGGTGGCAGCTGCGAAGCACGGAACAGATCGGCCACTGGACCAGCGGCCGCAGTGGCAGTGCCGGGGGCGACCCTGGTAGCCTCGGGGGGGCCAGGTCCCGGGCCCCCGCTTGAAGCGCCTGCACAGCGCGCGAAGAGCTCAGAGTAGCACTGCTGCTCACTATCACTCAGCAGCAACGGCGGCCCCGCGCCGCAGCCTCCACCGGCTGCCACCTCCATAGGTCCTTCTGTGGGGTTCCGGCCGAGCGCTTTTCCCGGCCAAGGTGCCGGTGCCTCCGCCAGGGCCACCACCGCCGCCTTGGCCTCCGAAGCCGCCGCCCCCACGCCCCGCAGCTGCAGCGCCGCCGCTTCCTCCAAGCGCGCGCCGGCCCCGCCTCCCGGGCTTGAATGTTGTGCCTTGGCGGCGCGGCACATGGAGACAGGCGCGGCGCCGACCAATCACAAGCCGGGATCGCACCTGGGCCCCACCCCTGACGGCCGTACTGCCCCGCCCCTTCGCCAGGTAAGGAAGACAACTCCTCCAGCTGCCCTCCCAAGCCTTTCACCTGCTCTGCGGGGGAGGCCAGACCCAGAGAGCGATTGCCAAAGCTGCTTCAAGCCCACGCAGCTCCAGAGGGGTATCTTGGGCTCTCCACCCTGGCTGGCCGAAGAACTTCTGGACACGCACACAAGAACAACAAGCGCTTTTCAGGGGATGGGGGTAACAGAGTTGTTTTCTATGTAGGAGTCCAAAACAAAAGTGGTGTCCACTTAGAAAAGGGACCAGGCACGAAAAACTGGGTATCACTTCCTCTGTAATAGTATTGCCTATGTCCTGAAAAGCTAAAGAACGGGATGTTCTTACGAATGGTATCCCAGCGCCTCTCCAGAACTTTGAAGATGGCGATGGGGTTAGGTCACTTTCTCAGGTGTGGCTCAGATCTGGATTTGAGCCTTGCTAAGGAATGCCAGAAGGTGCTCTTAAATCCTAGAGGAAAGGGGGTGGGGCTCTCTTTTGCAGATGTAAAACTCATTCTGCTAAGTGTGCTCTACTGAAGTCTGGGAAACAGTTGGTGGGAGGTACTATGTGGAAATTTTATGCTTATGAAGTCCTGAAATTACTGACCTCTATAATACAGCGTCCTCGCCTTCTGGAAGGATGATTTTTTTTAAGACAAGCTCTTTCCTTAAGACATCTGGCTCTGAAAATACTTCTTTTTGCAGGAAAACAAGCATATTATTAATACAAAAATGTCCAAGTTCATATCAAAAAGTCAACACTAGAACCCAGAACTTTAAAAACCCCATGTATTTTGTTTTTCAGATGGACTTCCTCCCCTAGGGCTATTGTTCTAGTTAAGTCTCTATGAAGAGAAAATCCATGCTGAGTGTGGTTACTCAACTTGTAACACTAGGAGGCTGCGGCAGGAGAATCCCTGACATTTTGAAGCGATTCTAAGCTACATAGGGAGTTCCAAGCTAGTCTGCAAAAAGAAAAAAAATGTCTACAAAATAATCTACTAGAAAAAAATGGTATGCCCCACAACAATTTTCAACATCAGTATTGTATAGTTGCATTTTTTTTCTAAAAGAAAAATCACTTTTGTTTAAAGACAGGGTGTCTCTACGTAGCCCTGGCTGAGCTGGAATTCACTCTGTACACCAGGCTGACCTCAAACTCATGGAGATCTGCCTGTCTCTGCCTCCCACGTGCTGGGATGAAGGTGTGTGCCACCATGCTGGGCTCCAAAAGAAAAATCTTAAATGCCATTGTTCTCGAGAAGAGTAGCACAAATATATCCACTACACATGCATATCTCACTGCAAAACACTAACCCAAATAGGAGGAAACTGTTCATTGCTAAACACTAATAAAAGGACATGTTAGGGCTGGAACTGGTGGCACACACCTTTTTAAACCCAGCACTCAGGAGACAAAGGCAGACAGACATCTGTGAGTTTGAGACCAGCCTGGTCTACATAGTGAGTTTCATGCCAGCCAGAACTTACATAGTGAAACACTGTCTTAAGAGAAATACATGGAGAGAGAAAAAAATATATATGTGTACATATAGTTTTATTTATACATACACACATACATAGAGATATATTCCATCCCAAATATTTTAATTAAAGCATGAAGCAACCAGATGTGTCACATGCCTGTAATCCTGGCACTCCAGAGGCAGGCCAGCCAGAACCACATGGCAAGACCCATGTCAACAACAGTAACAACACAGAAAAAGACAGCTCAAGAAATGCACTTTGATATAATAGTCAACTAAAATAAGGACCAATGAAAGGAAGAGAGGGGAAGATAGGGAAGAAGTCACAAGATGGGGAAAACTAAAGAGGAAAGGGGAAGAAAGACATATGAAAGAAAAAAGAAATGTGTTAACCTCAATGATGGCCAGAGTTGTACTTCCCTTTTGGATTCTGGAGAAATAAAATACAGAAGATTCATGGTGGGATATGACTCAGTAATACATCATTTACTAGCATACACCAAGTACAAGTATGGCCTGCAGTACCAGAGAAGAAAAAGTAAAGAAGCCCAAACATGTTAGCAGCTAAGTGAAATGACCTGTCTTTCTTTTTCTTTCTTGTTCTCTTTTAGTTTCATGAAACTTCAACATGAAATTTGAACATGCCCAGAGGCATTCCTGTTATCTTTATGATGCATACTGAGCAAGTCCACAAGTGTTGTATGCCTTCTATTGCTTTTTGAACACTGGCTAAATGACTCCCAGAAATGTGTCTCTTCTCCTTGAACTAGCACCTTTTACTGAGCATGCTCAGGAATGTGCCCACCCGTAAAGGGTTTTCCCATATGCATGTGTGTCCACTTCCAGAATAAAACCCCACGCTTCCGTTGTTCACAGATGGTACTACTTTGAACATAACTCCAGACTCCTGCCCTGTCGTTGCCTGTCTTAGCATTGCACTCCCCAAGAGGTGAACTCAGGTTTGATTACAAAGCAGAAATTTCTCTCTTGAAAGCCTTGATGCCTTAGTCCACATTTTGCTTCACAACTACTGGGAGAAAAGATGGCGTCAATACAGAAAGGATGACGTAAAGAGACAACTGAGATTGTCTAGCTATAGAGAATTTCTACTTCAAAATCCCATCACAGCCAGGAGTTGGTGGTGCATGCCTTTAATCCCAGCACTTGGGAGGCAGAGGCAGGCTGATCTCTGTGAATTCGAGACCAGCCTGGTCTACAGAGCGAATTCCAGGACAGCCTCCAAAACAATACAGAGAAACCCTGTCTTGAAAAAAACAAAAAAAAATCCCATCACACTTTCTGTGACCAACATACCTTCTCAGGAACATGGAAGCCAAGAGACAAGTAATTCTCTTCCTCCTTTCCCAATTGTTCTTAGCTGTCCTGGAGAGTAGTTCTGTAACAGAGTAGTCCACTCCATGTGATAGGCAACAAGCCCCACTTCCCCCAGGGAATCCTGTAAGAACAGATAAAGGCTATCACAGCCACTAATGTTCTTATAGTAGGGCAAGATAAAAAAAAAACTTTACATGGTATTTTTGTACCCATGATCTCATATAAGACTCACAGTAACTCTAAGGCAGATTAGGAAGATAGGTAGACAGACGGATGGATGGATGGATGGATAGATAGATAGATAGATAGACAGACAGACAGACAGACAGACAGACAGACAGACAGACAAATAGATGAGAGGGCCTCATACAGCACAGGCTAGCCTTGAACTCCTCATCCTCCTGCCTCTACTTACTCAGTGCTGGAATTACATACATGCAATGCCACATCCAGTCAGGAAGACATTTTCTTGAGATGGAAGGTCTCACTTTGTATACCAGGCTGACCTCACATTTGTGATCTTCCTGCTTCTACTTCTCAAATGTTAGAATTACGGGTACGTGTCACTGTAGTGGTTTGAATGAGACAGGCCTTCCACAGGTTCACACATTTAAACACTTGGTTTCCTGGTGGTGGCACTATTTAGAGGTTTAGGCGTGGAGGTACATCCCCGGGCAGACTCTGAGGATGCCGGATGGGCTCCAAAGCTATACAGAGAAACCTGTCTCGAAAAAAACCAAAAAATAAAATAATAAAGTAAAAGAGAAACAGAATTCACACAAAGGTGATCCCAGCACTTGGGATCTCACGCCTTTAATCCCAGCACTAGAGAGGAATATAAGGCAGAAGGAGACAGAAGCTCAGTGCAGTCTGAGGTTTGGTGGAGAGCAGTGCAGTCTGAGGTCTGGTGGAGAGCAGTGCAGTCTGAGGTCTGGTGGAGAGCAGTGCAGTCTGAGGTCTGGTGGAGAGCAGTGCAGTCTGAGGTTCGGCGCAGTGCTCCTCTGGTTTGAGCTTTGGTAGAGGTGAGAACGCTCTAGTGGCTGACTGCTTTACTTCTCTGATCTTCAGCATTAACCCCAATATCTGTCTCTGAGTTTTTAGCAATCCTGCTACAGGTGTGAGCTCTCAGCTTCCTCTTCCTCCTGCCACACCTGCCATCTGCTTCCATGCCTCCCCACCATCATGAACTCTGATCCCGGTTGAGCTGTAAACCAAAATAAACTCTTTCCTTGGTAAGTTGCTTCTGGTCATGGTATTTTTTTCCTTGCAATTTCTGTTTATTTGAAAGTTCACACAATTAAAAAGGAAAAGGGCCGCGATGGTTCCTCCGAGAGTACTTGTTGTTGCAGATGTCCTGGATGTTCTGGATCACATCAGAACCCAGCCCATACTCCCTCATTATGGCCAACACCTTTCTGTCCATCAGCTTATGAGACCTAAGGCAGCTGAGATAACTGCAGTTGCCCCTGGTGAAGTGCTCACAGACATACAGTCTCTCACACAGTTGTGGCTGCCCGCGAATCCATTTCTCTCCCTCTCCTTTATAACCTTTGTGTATCTCAGGCATGAAAAAAGGGTTGCTCTGGACCAGAAACACTGCCAGCTTCTCTTGGTTAAGCCCAGAGAGCTCATAATTCTTTAAGATCTGGAAGTTCTGTTCTGAGAGAACTTCGTGAGAATATTTGCAAAGGTTCCGCTGCGGGTGTGAATAGTGGCACTGGCCCAGCAGGTTGAGCTTGCAGAGGTGCAGCTGGTCATGGTATTTTTATAACAGCTACAGAGATATAACTAATACAGTCACTATGACCAGCAAGAAGACATTTCTTATCTTCATTTGGCAGATGAAAAATGAATGTAGAACTGGTGTGATTTGCCCAACTGGACGCTATATTTGGAGCCCATTTCCTTCACTACTCAAGCCAATTTAATAAATCTGACAAATATTTATTAAGCAGCAGTCTCATATCAGTGCCTACCAATCTATGAGTGAAATAATCAGCATTTGTTGGTAGGGCATAAAGTGCTTA